ACGTACGCCTTGCACCCAGACCCGCACCCGCCTGCACGGCCGCACCAGTTGAACGCGTTGCAGCCCGGCAGCGACGCGCAGGCGGCCGCGCAGGCGTCCGCGGTGGTGACGCCGGCTGTCATGGGGTGGTTGCCGCGGAAGGAGAGGGAGCCGGCGTCTAGAACCAACAGGTCGCCCTGGGGGGGGGCCAAGGGAGTGGTGGGGCTAGCGCGTGGGGTTTGCTGCTGTCGACGGGGGCAGGGGCGCAAGGGGGGGTCTTGGGCCGGGGGTGCCTGTATTTGCCGTGCAGCAGGGGAGCAAGCACTGAGGCAACGTGTTGAAGCCTGTCCAGGGTGAGAGGTGCCCAGGGCTGCGACACGGCGCAAAGGAAGGGGATCGCCCTCGAGCATCAATGACAACACCAGTCTGTAACAATTCAGGTCGTGCCACCGTGCCGTGCCTGAATGTTTCGCCGCTGCTGGGAGCCCAGCTTGACGCCCGCGCCGGCCTGCTGCGCTGATGCTGCGGACCGATGACAAGCGTGCTACCTCTCAGCCTCGCTCAAATGTGCGGTTTTATCAAGTCATTGCACTCAGAAAAGTACATTCTCGTACGTACGTGCGCAGCCAGCCACCGTTGCGCACATTCGACACTGCTCGCTGACAGCCGGGGTGGGGCCCCACCTTGAGGAGTTGAGACAATCAGCAGTGCTGCAATACCTAGAGCCATTCGCGCTGCTGCCAAAGCCCGCGGCCTGGGCATCGAGCGGCAGCACCCCCGCTGTTGCCGCTGCACTGGTGCACCCGCGCCCCCATGAGTGGACATCTCGTCACACAGGATTGTGCTCGTGAAGGGGTTGCCAAATGCATGCTCAAGCTGCACCAAAAGTTGCGGCTCACGTGCTCGCTCTTCTACGGTCCGCTTCTCGGGTCTCTGGTTTGGTCAGCAGCTTCCCATGCACCTGCCACAGCTCCAACTGACCGGGAGACAATGGCGGGCCAACCGTGAGACGACTGGCATGGCGTTGCCCACTGGGCCATCCCCGCGGTCTCGTATGAATGAATCTGACCATGTGTCTTGCCCACTTTACTAATGTGTCGACACCAGCAAGTGCCTGACGAAACAACACCGAAGCAAAGCAGCTGCGGCACCAACAAACAGGGGGCGCTGCTGTGCGGTGTGTGCAGCCCCCAAACGAGGGCAAGTCCGACGCTACGCGCTTGCAACCCCATTCGCTGCATAGCGCCAGCCAGTCCTGCGTCGCTCGCCGCAACCCAGGCTGCCCAGGCAGGGTGACAGCGCCTAGGCGGGGGGCCACGCCCGCGCAAAGGGGTGCCTGGAGACAGCCTCACAGCTGCGACGCCGCCCTGCGCCCCGACCTGCGAGACGGCGTCGCCGCCGGCTCGGCCGCCGCCGCCGCCGCGCCCCTGGATCGCGCTGCACCGGCGCCGGCGGAGCGGCGG